ACACAAACACATGCCTGGCGTGAGTTTAAGCCACCGGGTCCGGGACTCAAACCGTAGTCGACTACATGGGAGTCCAGCAACATAGCCATTACGCTAACTGCTGATCCCTAAAATCTTAACATTTTAGTAGTTCCTAGTGTCTAGGTTGTTTCTTTGTATGTATGTTTACTTTATGGTGAGACTGTAAGCCCAGTGAGACTGGGTCAAGTTTAGAGTTATTTTGTAAGAATTATGTTTAATTTTGCTATGTTAAACTTCATGTACTAAAAGGAAAAACATTGAAAATGACATTTTACATAAAAGTCCACTGTTGAGGCAATTATTTATATTTAACAAATAGAAATAAAATTAATGGTACATGCAATATTAAGGCCGTAAACAGTTGGTGGAAAGCACAATGGCATGGAGACATGCAAAGGTGTACCCTGGACTTTGCTTTGCCTCTGTTTAGTTATATGATCTTGAACAAGTCACCGAAGATTTTCAAGTCAGTTTTCTCATCTCTACAAAGTATGTGTGGGGCACTTTCTATACTTTAAAATTGCATAACTGTAGATAGTGGAGAGAGAGACAGTGTTATCAAAAACTCTCAAAATCCTGATACTGCTACATAAAATAAAGCGAAAGCTATAAAAACCAAGATACAAATTTTTCTTATCAGGGTGTAATATTTTGAAAATAAAGTAAAAAAAATCTAAAATCAAACAGTTGAAAAAAACTCCCAAATAAGATCTATCACAGATTTTAACTATAAAATTAAAAAATATAGGTCCCTTTCTATGCTAAATATTTCACCTATGAAAAAATGGTGCTGGAATACTTGGACATCTGTATGAAAAAAAAAAAAAAGAACCTTGATCCATACCTTGTACCATATAAAAATAATCAATTCAGAATGGATTATAGACCTAAATATACAACCCAAAATTACAGAAACATGGAAGAAAGTATATGAGAAAATATTTGTGACTTCAGATAAAGGCAAAAATTTGTAAGATACCACATCAAAAGCACAATCCATAAAAGGAAAAAATTGATAAATTACTCTTAATTGTGTCTTTAAAGAAGTTCTTAATTTTGATTAAAAAAATTAAAACACAAGACATAGACTAGGTGAAAACATTTGCAAAATGCATATCTGATAAAGGAGTTTTTTCCAGAATAAATAAAGAACTCTTAAAACTCAATAATAGCGGGCCAGCAGGTCACGTGGTGGTTAAGGTATTAGAATTCCCACATGGCTGACCACAGTTCAAGTCCTGAACCTAGAGGCTTGCTCTCTCTCTCTCTCTCTCTTTCTCTTTCCCTCTCTGTCTTTCTCTGGCAAAACTCATGTTAAAAAAAAAAGTAATAAATAAATAAAATAAACAATTCTTTAAAAAAAAAAGAAAAACTCAATAATAGGATAACAAGCAACCCTCCCCACACATACAATGGGCAGAAGATTTGAATAGACATTTACCAAAGAAGATCTATGAACTACAGATAAATACATTTAAAAATATTCAAACATTATTGTCATAGGAATTGCAAGTTGAACCTATAATGAGATACCAATATTACCTATGAGAATGGCTAAAACAAACTGAAAATATCAAGCCCTAGCAAGGATGCATTGCAACTGAAACTTTCATACATGGTTAGAGGAAGTACAAAATGGTCCAGTCCTTTTTAACAAAAGTTGAGCAGTATTTTATAAACATAATATTTATCATTTTTAACATAATATTTATCATTTAAGCTAGTAATTCTTCTCCTAGGTATTATCCAAGAGAAATGAAAACTTATGGTCACTCAGAAACCTTTATGTGAATGCTTTATAAACTTTATATGTAATAACCCCAAACTGGAAACAAACTGTTTTTCAGCTACTAACTAATCAGTTGTAGTATATCCATACAATAGGATACTATTCAGTAATAAAAAGCATAAAGCTATAGATATACACATTCACACACTAGCATGGATGAATATCAGAGTGATTATGGTGAGTGAAAAATCAGACCCCAAAAGAATGCATACTGTATGATTCTATTCATACATAATTTTAAGAGAGGCAAAATTGTAGAAGCAGAAAACATCAATGATTGACAGGGCATGGCAGTGAAGATAAAGCTTGACCACAGAGGACCACAATGAAATCAGAGTGATTTGATTTCAAACAGTTTTATATTTTAATTATGGTGTTGAAAACACAACCATGTGCATTTGTCAAAACTCATAAAACTATACCATTTGGAAATTAAGCCTCAGTAAACCTGACCATCTCCCAGAAGAGTTTTCACAATGCTTATCATAGATTTTAAGGGTAATACTTAAAAGTGGCACAGTGGTAACACAATGCTTTGCAGTACTGAAGCCATGTGGGAAGGTCCCATGTCTGCTTCCTAAGGTGCTTTCCTAAGGTACGCACGAAGTACGTGTGTGCATGCCTGTAATCCTGGAGGGCTAAGGCTGGGAGTGGATTTCAGCATAAAGATCTGTTAAGCTTGCCCTCCCCCTCCATATCTCTCTCTCATGAAAGAAATAAACTTAAAAGGGTGTGTACTATTTTTTCTCCTGTGAAGAATTCTATCATAACTGAGAAATCAATAGGACAATACAAACTAGGATATTAAAATGAAAAGCACTTTCAATACAAAATCTATATGCCTTCAGTAATATTAAATAAGTTATGTCTCATCTTTTTCATTTTTTGATTTTATAAGTTAAATGTCAATGAATGATTTTTTTTGTTTTATTTTCAGAGAAATAGTTCTGTTTCCTTCTTTCTTTTCAAATAATGTTAATGCTGAAGTTTCTCAAATAAACCCAGCTTGCCACCTTCAGGCAACTGAAAGATTTACCAAGATTTATCCATAGCCAGAGATATAAATATTAATTTGATCTCATTCTCAATAATTCATAACATCTTAATCCTTTCCCTTTTTTGAGAGGTTTTTACTATAGGGCACATGTGCTCGCTAGAGAGAGAGAGATACAGACAGCAAGAAATCACCCCCCAGGGGGATGGCCACGCCACAATCCCTTCTCCTCCATTCTCCTCTTGGGATCTTGGGTACACATATACACACATCCGGCGTGAGTTTAAGCCATTGGGTCTGGAACTCGAACCACGGTCAACTACATGGGAGTCCAGCGACGTAGCCATTACGCCAACTGCTGGTCCTCATCTTACTCCTTTTAGCAGTACCTTTATGAAAGTCACTTGATGTAGAATCTTTC